TAGTTTACATTAATTCGTAGTTAAGTGCATTAAGGTAACTTCTCTTTGACGTGCAATTGATTTAGTTACCGTTAACATGGTAAAACTGTATATATCTTGTTTCAGATACAATATACCAAACATTCAGTTTGAAATTGGAAGTTTCAATACTTAATTTTTAGTTGTAATATTTTGGTAATTTTGGATATTGATTTAGATCTAGCGAACTGTAAAACAACTGCATACTTCTATCCGGAAAAGTAGACCACACAGTTTGTCCGGTAATTTGAATTTAATTAACTCTTTTTTTAAGTATTATTTTTTGCGCACGTTTTCACTAATTACAAAGAAACTAGTTTACATTAATTCGTAGGAATACAACTAGTTAAGTGCATTAAGGTAACTTCTTTTTCACGTGCAATTGATTTAGTTACCGTTAACATGGTAAAACTGTATATATCTTGTTTCCGATACAATATACCAAACTTTTAGTTTGAAATTGGAAGTTTCAGTACTTAATTTTTAGTTGTGATATTTTGGTAATTTTGAATATTGATTACTGAAATTTAATAAATAATTTCTAATTTTACAAAATTTTATCATTATATAATAATATATAAAGAATAGCTTGAAATAACTGAAAAAAAAAATAATTAAACCAAAAAAAATATCAAGTACACATTGATAAATAAACGTATTGTTTTCTCTGATGATAATGTTTCATTCACAATGAACTTTGTATTAAAGCGATATAAACTATGTAATATTTTATATAATTAAGAACATTTAAGAAATGTGATGTTTATGTAGCATGAGTTATTAAATGAAATTGTAAAATGCTTGTTAAATATTTGATTTAAATTAAAACTGACATTTCCTCATGACAGATGCAGTCACTGGAGAATTCATTACGTTAATGGGAGTTATGCATGCAAATATCGTGATATCAGGAGTGCGCTTGAATTTGAATGAGTCCAGTCATGAGGATCAATTATGCACCGACGGTAATCTGTAATTACGGAAATTATGCGGATGATGGGTTTCACACAAATTCGTTAATTACCTACAATCCGCACGACTCGCACACAGGTAATAAACACACCGTTAACAATCGATTATCTCTCGTGTCACCAATCCGGAACAACAGCACAAGAAGAAATGACACATAATTTCTTCAGTTGCAAATCACGGATTTTCAATTTGGGATTTTTCAATATCACTATTAATTTTTTATTTAATGATTATTAGGGGAAAATCCTGCACTCAAGTTCCGGGTTTGAAAAAAATTCCGAAGAAAATGCGATTGCGATCTGAACATATCGATTGCACGTCAAAAGGAAGTCACCTTAACCCGTCCTTTCCAAAATTCTAGTTGTTTTACTACGAATTAATTAGTAAACTAGTTTCCTTGTAATTAGTGAGTAAACGTGAGTAAATATATACAAAATTAAATTCAAATTACCCGCCACAAACTGTGTGGTCCGGATAGAAGGATCCAGTTCTTCTACACTTCGTTAGAATTGCTGGAAATTTAATAATCCTTTCGATTTTACGACCATCGGTAGCTGCAACACACGTATTACGCGTGTAATTATTTTATTGTCCACGTAATTGTCCCATCACTCTCTAAAAAGAAAAAGAAAAAACAGGCGACGAAGAAATTGATCGTCGTAATTGAATATGTAAATTACGTGGATGCGCCGTTTCCAAATCACAAAATAATCGTAGGCAACGCAATAATATAAAAAAAAATAAATAAATAAATAAATTATTAAAATTGTGATCGTTCTTCTCACGAGGTGTGAGATGAGAACGAGCAGGAGAAAATGTGTGATATTCCCATTAAAGCGTAAAATTTGGCAACAAATTTGGAATTTAATTAATTGAAATTGCAGCCCGGAAATTTCGGTTTTTTTCGAAATTCGATTGATATTATACAACGTCTAATTGAATCGCGGAATTTAATTAGCGGCGATGTAAATTGCCGTCTTTTCTCGCACTTATTGTGTCACGTAATCGTCGCATTCGCTTTGGTCCACTCGACAACAACATCATCATCATCATTACTATTTCGTTACTCAATTAAAAACGGACAATTTTCGACCCGAAGATCGAACGCACCGTGTTATGCAATTTTGATTAGTTTTTAGTTGTTTTCGTTGTTCTTTTTTGTTTTGTTATTTACGTAGATGGGAGTTGACAGAATGGGGCGAGATGGTACTTTCTGCACGATATCGTTACCTAATTGATGTCACTTTCAGTACGGTTCGATTCCTCATTCCGCGGTTCGACGAAAAAAATATGGATGATTCGGTTCGTTTATGGGAATACAGGCAATTGAAATAAGTTCTGTTGCTTAACAGATTCGAAATTTTGTGAAATTCTTCCTCTATTCTTCATTAAAGTAAAATCTCATCAATTAAATTCAATAGGAAGAATAACACTCAATTCCTATTCAAATTAATTGATGGGATAAGCTTTGTGCGTTAATTGGTCTTTGAAATTTCCATAAATTCTATTAATATTATATTATTAATTAACTTTTTAAAGAACGAGAATATAATTAAAACCTATTCTCAAAGAATTATTAAATATTTATAATAATATAATAATCTTTATTAGTCACAATTATAACTAAAGGGCTATCGACCTAAGTCTTTCCGCCTTAAATATTAAAAATCGCGAAAACTACAAATTTTACATTGATTTATTACAAAGAGTTTTGCAATAATTCAATTACTTTTTTTTACTTTCTTATGTAATACTAGAAAATGTACAAATTAATGATTATTGTATAAATCATTGTCAAAATTTCAAAGTAATGGAACTTTATGATCATGTTCGTTCATTAATTACTGAATGAAAAATTTAAATTTAAATTTATATGAAATTGTTAAAATTTTATAATTTGCTATCAAATTTAAAGTGCTTACATTTTGAGTCAGGAAAGAGTAGATTCTTCAGATTTAGGCAAATTACTAGAAAATTACAAGAAGACAATAATTACTACAGAAAATTGAATCTTTACAGAACATTTACAGTGGAACTAAACGAGGTTTAATCGGTTCCAAAATTTTCGGATTTTTACTTGTATAGTGAAATACTCGTATAGTGAAACATATTCAAAAATTCACATAATATGTGTAGATAAGTTTTATAAATGATGTAGCAGGCGAGCAATCCGCGACTTCTCTTTTCATCGTCACTCGTTATGCGAAACATCGCTCGTTAAGCGAGTCATTTTTCTTACAATTAATTTTACTCGTTAAGCGAGTATAAGAAATACACTATAACACTGTATTACTGCCAAACATTACATAAGTTTAAGAAATGTCTTAACATTTTGGCAAGTTATTCAAAAACAACTAATGATTATATAGTGTAATAGTATACCATTGTAGATTTTCGTATAATTAAATTCATGAAATGTAAAAATACTAATTGTACCACTGATGATGTACTGAATATATCAAGAAATGACGAACATTTTAGATCATCCGAAAATGACCAAGAATTTCAAAGTGATTTATTGGATTAGTCAACAAATTATCATCAAATATGACCATAATAAAGTCATATTTTTATTTTAGTTCACATTTAATAATAAATATGAATTAAATATGAAAATATACACAACAAACTTTTTTTTGTATTGAAGAAATAATAAAAAAAAAACATAAAATCAAAATCCACTTAATTTACTTAAATTTTATATAATTTACATCATTTATTGAACACTTATTGTTTTGCATTATGTATTTTTAACGTAATTTGATGACATTTCTTTTATAAAACACAATTTTGTTTCAATTTTAAAAATTATGTACGTTATTATTTATAATAAATTTATAAAAAAAATCTTATAAAGTGGGATACCTGTATCCGACTTACGAACTCCCGGACTTACGAACAAAATTCTAAAAGCTCTAACATGTTACAAGAAGATATAATATAATATTTTTGGAAGATGTATTTGCATTGGTTTCTTTTGTCGTTTTTTTTTAAACAATTGTGATGTCTACATTGAAAACTATTAGTAAGTAAGTAGTTTGTTTATATTGATGTATTTTTTCAAATTTATGCTGTCAGTAATACCGAATTTAACATATATAAAAGTAAAAACCGGTGAGATAAGTATATTTTGAAATTATTAAAATTCCCCGGACTTACGAACAACCCTTTTTAACGCAACTAGTTCATAAGTCGAGGAATACCTGTACGTAGTTTTACCCTAATTGAATTGATAAACTAATTGTCATCAACAAAAACGTCATATTTTACAATAATAATTCATATTAACAAACTTATTTTTAATGTAAGAAATGAAAAATAATTATATAATCAATACAAAACAATAAACTTATTTATTTTTTTCTTCCGCTTCGATTTACAATTTACATTTTTTAACATAAAATTATTGTTTTATAGAAGATTAACCTTATAATTTAGAATAAACTTATAAACACTTTCTTATAAATTACATGATACAATGCACATTATCAATTTACACGTTTGTATTTCTACCGTAATTATATGTGGTAACACTACAAATGAATGTCTTCATTGTACAAATATATATTTATTTTTTTTCAATACATAGAATAAATTCGTTATTATTGACATTCTTAAGATTTATGAGGAACGCCTAACAACGAACAAAAAAACATTGGTAAAAGTAAAAGGTAAATCCCACAAAAAAATAGGCGTTATTATTTTTTTCGGTAAGTACATGTTATTACGACCGTATTGTTTTTTTTAACTTCTTCTAACGCTTGCTTTTCAATGTCATAATTTTCCGGAGCGTCGAAAACCGCTCCATCGGAAGCGTCGAATGGGTCGAAAGGAGACGGAGGATTGTTTATGAAGCGGAGGCAAAGATGTTACATTATTACACATCTGCAAAAACGCCCTACTACTTCTTCCCACTATAACGTTTTGCTACTATAAGAGAAGGTATAAAACCCATCGGTAGACAATTGTGATCATCCTTTTACATTCGGGTTGTGTACAACCAAGGATTGTTAATTACATCGTATATATTTACTATATATATACAGACACACACAGCGTGTGTGCAGGTATTCTTTATTTACGTTTGGTATCTGCGCCAGAAGACGCATCCAAACGCACCCAGTTCAGTGATTTTTTTTATTATATTATAATTCAATTTGTGTCCATCGTTTCTGTTTGATATGTTCGTGAAGGTAGGATTTTATTGTTTCTCTATACATTACCCTAATTCTAATCTTAACTTTAACAATTCTTAATTATAAAATTTTAACATTTTCCATATTTGCAACTACAATAAATTCTTGGAAATAATCGTTAACCTATATCAATATTACATTTCAAGCTTTCTTCATAAATTACCTATACTTACTTATATTTCGATTTACTATAATATTTTTTACCTTCTGATTAAAATTCAAGAGAAAATACGATTTTTCTACTATTTTTCAAAGAAAAGTTGATTTTGCCTAATTAAAATTTAGTTTACAATTCAAATTATTTCCAATAAACTATCAATATAACACTTTCTAATTCCTTCATTAATTTGTATGTGTTTATGCTTCATTTTATTTTATTCAGTTAAAAATTACTTTGATACAATCATTTAAATTATTTTAATCCTCACTTTAATTTAAATCATCAAACGATTCTGTTAAATTTCGCATCTTAATCCTGAGTTTAATTTTTAAATTTTAATACTCACATTAATATACATTAAACGTCTAAAGTTTCTTAAATTTGTTCCAAATCATACAATTTGTTTCTATTATTTTGATTCACTTTTCCTGCTACATATTAAATTCACTTCTCGCATTCTAATCTATCTTAATCCTGAGTTAACTCTTAAATTTTAATCCTTACTTTAATCAAAATTTGGGATCTAAATCTGTTCTTAAATAACCAATTTGTATATTATTATAATTCACTTCTCGAATTTCAATTTATTTGAATCATCATAAGTTTAACTAAATAATCAAATTAAGTTACAAAAAAACGAATAGTAAATGTTATGATCAAGATAGAATAGAAGCATTACCATATAATAAATGTAAGGTTAAAATATTGTTGAACAAAAGCCCGACGTTGCTTCACTAACATTTCCCTACTCTCATATTTACAACTATCAATAATTCTTTACAATAAATTATCTTTAACCTAAATCAATATAACATTTTGCACCTCCTTCGTTATTTCCTTTTATATATAATTCCATAACATTTAGTCATTCTGATTAATTTCAGTTAACAATAACACAACTTAACTTTTTCAAGTCTGATTTTTTTTTTGCTTGTACTTAAACAAAATATTTCTTATATATAAAATTGCAATATTCTAATCTATATATTAAGAATATAATTAAATCTATGATAGATAGAGTTAGAAAATAAAAATAATAAAGTTTAAAATTGATGGTTGAAAAATTGAAGAAGTTTACAATACAACTTTAAACAATTGTAAAGTTAAGGTTTTAAGCAAAAACTTTATATTACTTAAGTAACAAACAATTATTTCGTATCGATAATTTATATTTCGAGGTTAAATACAAGATTTTATAGTTTCTTCATTAACTGTACACAATTTCCCTTGATTGTGCATCTACATTTAACATCTTCTAGTTAACTTATAATATGTAGTAGAAACTAATAATAAATTGGTTTCATTAGATTTGTCACAGATTTAAAAACAACAATTTAAAAAAAATGTGAATTTAAAAAAATTGATTTAAAATTACTCAAATTAAGTTTAATTTCTTTCGTTAGTCAAGAATTAACAAAAAATAATTATTTTAATAAATAATCTAGTATATTTTTTTTTATTTAAATTTTTTTATAGATACTCAACATTTTGCAATAAATTTAATTAATAATCACTAATAATAAACTGTCGATTCATAATTGCATAATAACTTTTGATTTGCATAAAATACTAAAAAGTTAACTAAACGCCACAGAAAAGTAATTGATTAAGTATCCATTTTATTCATTTATTTATATCTCTGCTACTCACGATTTTATTGATGAATGCAAATATGATAGCAATCGCTATAGTAATTAAACGAATGGAAATATAAATAAATATAAAAAAACATACACACACTTATATATATAATTTCAATCAACTCAACTGTTATTAATTAGTTTTACGAGTTTGTATAAACTCGCATCCTTGGGAACACTCGGACTGTCTGTCTGTCCGCGCGCGTATTTATCACCACTCCATTGGATTAACCTGATTTGTCATTATTACAAAATTCCGAAAGATCAACATTATTACTTGGCAGTTCGGTTTAATTCGATAGTTAACATTACTGAACATTTTAATAATCCCAATCAAACACATTATAGAAGCATTAAAACTTGACACACATTCAATTCATTAAACGACTTTTCAATTTATTATTACATCGCACTTATAAAGTAAATAAATCTTAGTTTCTTCGACATACAAAGCGTCACATTCTTTAAGCAAAATAAATATAAATTCTGTTTGTTTAGAAAAAAAAATCTTTTTTCTCAGTAAAGTCTCATTTCGTGCTGTTTAGTGTTATGCGATTTTAAAGTCCTCGATTAGTCCGGAACTGTAGACTAGTATTCAGTTTTCTTAATTGAAATACTTATACGTTAATGAAAATGGAATAGTATTAGAATAGCCCCTAGTATGCCTGCATGTGGGACGCCTTGAAAAATTTAGTTCTTCTTTTGTAATCATATTTTTTTTTGATAAATTTACATTTTAAAACTATTAAAACACATTTAATTGATTGAATAACAGAAATTCACTGATCTTCTCTTGTAAATGTTGATTGTAACAACATTATTGACTTGTTAGAAATTTCAGAAATGTTTGAATAAAACTGTTCAGTTGTTTTATAGAAACAATTCATTCGTATTACAATGAACACGTTTACTAAAATTCTTACATAAATGTGAAGAACATCAACATTCTTCATTGATTAGCAACATTACCTCGCATTATCCTAATTCACTACATTTTAATTAAGCAAAATACATATATTTTCTGTTTGTTTTTCAGTCAAGTCTCATTTTGTGCTGTTTATTGTTATGCGATTTTAAAGTCCTCGATTAATCCGGAAACATAAACGAGTATTCTCAATGAAAATTAATGAAATTGTCATAGTAATAGAATAGGCTCAAGTACACATCCATGTGGGACGCCTTGAAAAATTTAGATCTTCTTTGGTAATCATTTTTTTTGTTGATAAATTTACATTTTAAAACTACTAAAACACATTTGATTGATTGAATAAACAGAAATTGACTGATCTTCTCTTGTAAATGTTGATTGTAACAACATTATTGACTTGTTAGCAATTTCAGAAATGTTTAGTAAAACATAAAAAGTAATGTAAAACTGTTTAGTTGTTTAATAGAAACAATTCATTCGTATTACAATGATCACGTTTACTAAAATTCTTACATAAATGTGAAGAATATCAACATTCTTCATTGGTTAGCAATTTCTGAAATATTTGTATAGAATTTTTTAGTTGTATCTGACAGCAATAATTCAGTCAAATTCCTATGAAAATTAATAAACTCATTGATAAATAATAATAAATTAATTTAAATTTTCATATAAATATTCATAATAACAACATTTCCTCATATATTATCAATTAATCAGTTCTAGGTGACAGTAATTTCTTATATTCATATTATTATATATTTTTTAAATAATTTTCTATTCAAAAATGCGGAAATTAATTGAAATTCTCATATGTTTATAAAGAATAATCATTATTTACTTATTTCAGACACGCTAACATTGAGCTGTTCAATAGTATTTTATTCAAAAATATGCATTTTAATTTGCATTTACATTCATCATTCAATGCTTGATAAATGCATTATTATTAATATATAATTTAATTAATACAACTTTTTCTAAATTTTAAATTAATTTAGTCGCGTTTTTGTTTACTAAATTATTTATACAATAATGAATAATAAAATTAATTAAAATCATTAATTACATTCTTACATCAAAATTTATAATAAAAAAATATGAATTGTTCATTTACAATTTTAAATAATTTTAGGTCAAATAGTTTTTTTTTTTTGTTTCTCAACAAGTTTTCTATCATAGACAACGGTTTTTATCCAATTAATTAATCAATTAATTCATTTAATTTGTTTACTTAAAATTTGAAAAAAAAAATCATTAATTATTTAATTTTCTTAATATTTTGTTTTAAGTCAATGAGTTTATTTTTAATGTTTAAATTAATATTTAGAAATTAACTAAACTTTAAGATGAATATTAATAATAGCAATAGTAACACATGCTAAATAACAAGTAGAAATAACATTTGAACTAAAATGAATGAAAAAATGTTCATCAAGATACAAACACTCAGTAATTAATTAAATATAAATAACAGTATGCATTTTCTGTTGGAAATGATGATGAAATTTAAAGAAATTATATTAATTGAGGTGTAGGTGCGAAATTAATTTTTACTTAATCGTTCAGCAGATGTAATCTATATTCTCCGCAAACAACAACAAAAAAAATATGTTGAATGGAACAATGGTGTATGGGTGTCGAAAAATTGCGATCGAATATGAGATTTGCGCACGCGAAGAAAAGAGATGGAAAGTTAAATAAAAAAATGAGAACGGATGCTCATAATTCCTCGCCGGTGTTTCTTACCGATTGTCCGAACGTTGTTGAACATTACACAGCATCCGCGAATGCATGGATGTCTAAAATATATACAATTTTTCAATATTAATTGCAATGCAAAACAAGTTTATTTACTAGGATTATGAAGAAGCAAGCGTTGATTAAAAATTATTAGTTAATATGTTAGTGAGCCGATGGTAATTAGCGGTTTGAGTAATTGCGATAGTCAAGGCAAATGGCCCATTAATCGTATGCAGTGTGTCTGTCTATGCGTTATATTATAATTACAAAACCCGCACATTTATTTTTTGTTCTTTACTTTGTTTTTTTTTGTTGTCTTCATCTATGGTAGAACCTCTCATCCACGATGACTAAACGCCAATTAAAAGCTCTTCCTGTGTGCTCAACGCATGCGATTTGCATGCATTACACCAATAAATCATCGCCATCGTAAACATACCATCATATCCAACACCTAATGTATGATTAACGTTCCGTTCCATCGAGAGGTCAAAACACATTCGAAATCTCTTTAACTTTGATTGAT